TATATGTATCTAGTATACTATAAATTTAATAAAGATCATGCAAAACTGCCACACTTCAAAAAAAAAAAAAAAAAAAACGTTAGTATTATTTTCTTCTAAAATATTAATAATTATGTCTTTTTATGAAATACTGTTTCTTCAAGTTAAGGATGACTATGATAGTGTTAATAACCTTAATCCAGCTGAAAATTAGGAGACAGTTTTGACCTTTTAGTTAATAATACACAAACAATCATTTTAAGTGAAGAAAAATCTTTTAATAAGTTTAATGAAGATAATAATGAAGAAATTGAAAACTTTGAGCCACTATATTCTGTTGCATCAGAAATGACTTTTATAAACTGAAAGAAATTTGATAAGTAAGTAAAAAAGTTATTTTATTATATTAGTATATTCGCAATTTTAATTAGATTAGATTAGATTGGATTTGTTGATCTTAACGGGTTAGATAAATTTTCATATAATAAACTAATTTTAATAAAATATTGATGTAATCTTTTACTAAAAGTTTTATCATAATAAATTATTTCCATTGTTTGATTCCTATTGTTTATTATTTGCATATTAATAACAAAAAATTTTTTAATTTTAAGATGGTTGGAAAATCATGGATTAGAACAAGGTTTTACACTTATAATTACTCATAATGAAAAAGACAAGAATGATAGTTTTCCTTGACATCATATTTATGCATGCTCAAGAAGTCGAATATATAATCAATAAAAAAAGCAAACATAGACAAAAATTGTAATAAAGGATATTATACTAATGACTGTAAATTTCATATTAATACTTACCAGCAAAAAAAAATAATCTTATTCATATTACAAAGGTTGATGGTGAGCATAATCATGAATTAGTAGAGAATATTAGAATGATTACACCAAAGTATCGTAAGCTTACTCTAAAAATGTGTAAGAATGTAACAATTTTTGCTACCTATGAAATATGAGCTGATACAATTATTGAAGTTTTACAATATAAATATTCAGAAAAATATATTTATTCCCACAATGTTTACAATTTAATTCAAATAATTTGATATCAAAATTAAGCTATAAGTGATGCTGGTTCAATTTATCTTGCACTTATGAATCAGCAGCTGAAAAATCTAATATTTCATGTTGATGTACGGTTTAAAGATCAAGATAATTATTTTGTTAGACTCTGTTAGATGCATCCAAGTCAACAGGAATTGTGAGCTCATTTTCATGATGTAATTTTACTTAATACAATAGCAAAAATAAACCAATATTCAATGATTTTATGTGTTGTAATATTGGTTGATAATTATAATCATTCTCATTTTGCAGCAACTGCAATAGTGTTAAATGAAACAAAAGATACTTTTATATAGTATTTACAAGTCTTTTCAAAGCAACAGGAGTATTAACACTAACTTTACTTTATACAAATGCTAATCCTGCAATAATCTGCAGTAGTAAACAATACTTGATTTACAATAAAGCATCATTTTTGTTTGTTTTAATTAGAAAAAACTTGAAAAAGCATTTTCTTAGTAAATATTATGATAAAAAATGAAAAAAGTTCTTTTATTCTTTTTGTTATATACATAATAGTCAGGTTAAATCAATTTTTGAAGAAAGGTGGGCTGTATTATTACAGGAATATACTGATGCTATAAATTACTTGCAACATCAACTTTATTCATGTAGAGAAGCTTGGGTATTATGCTTTACACATCATATATTTAATGCTAAATTCAAAATACACAGCATGTAGAGTCATATAATAGTATTATCAAAAATAATGTTAATGGATCATTATCTCTTATGGAACTTGAATATACAATTGAAAGATTATTAGTAAAGGAAAGTAAATATCTAAAATTAAATAAAATTATTAGTAAGCTTTTTATAAGTAAAGAAGAAGATTATCATAATCATTATTTTAAAGATATTGACAAATTATGTTAACATTTTTTAACATTGACAATTCTTAAATTCTAACAACATGAAATGAATTGCAGTATGCACTACTGATATCATAGAACTAATTTGAACTATGAACTTGAGCGACAGGTACAAATCAAATTTATCGTTATATAATTACTATTAGAGATAATTAATCTTTTTTCTTTATAGAATACTATGGAATTACCAAAAGGCATATTTTTTGAAGAAATATTTGATTAAAGCTCTGAATAGTTCAGATTAATCTGAAGATTTTTCAGATCAGTTTGGTTCAGATCAGTTTCAGATTGCATAAAAATTGATCTGAAAATTTTCAGTTCAGTTCAGATTGATTATATGCGAAACTCTTAAAGGATCGCAAAATTTGTGCATTCTCTAAAAGGATCGCAAAAATTTAGCGAAATTCTTAGAAAATCACAATTTTTTGTAGTTTCTCTTGAATTTTGCAAAAAAATTGCGAAAACCTTGAAGAATCGAATTTTTTTGCAATTTCTCTTAGAATTTCACAAAAATATTGCAAAACTCTTGGAGAGTCACAAAAAATTGTGATTTCTCTTCGAATTTCGCAAAAAAATGTGAAAATCTTAAAGAATCGCAAATTTTGCGATTACTTATCGAATTTTGCAAATTTTCGCAAACCTTGAAGAGAAATTTATGATTTTTTGCGATTTTCCTAGAGTTTTGCATATAAATTGCAGATTACTTATATAATCGAACTGTAATTTTGGATTAATCTAAAAATTCTGGTTCAATTCAGATTTTTATCAGTCTGCAGTTCAGTTCAGATTCAGATTGGCATTTTTAAGATTAATAATCTGAACTGAACTGAACTGAAATTTTCAATTCAGATACAGATTGACATCTAATTCAAACTGAACTAAACTGTTCAGAACTTTATATTTGATGCTTGTGTTATAGAACTTGCAGAATTAATTGCGAGTTTAGATTCAACAAGAATTAATGAAATTTGGTATATTTCTTCTATTGATAAAAAAAGTAAGCATTTTATTATACTATATGATGACACTATGCATTTATATACATGCTTGATATTAATTAATTATGGCCTTGTATGCCACCATTTTTTTGCAACAATTCTTGTATCTTCAATTGCCAAGTTTCATATTAGACTTATACCACAACGTTGGTATACTGATGCATCAGTTATGGAGGCAAATACAATACTTATAAGTATACCAGCAATTTCAGTAATTTCTGGTGATAAGTTTGATATAATAGAATACATGTAGAATTAAATTTTTCTCATTTAGAGAGTATTCGTGGGTGTCATATTTATACTAAAGAAGTTTATCATGAAATGACACGAAAACAACAGTGGAGAAAAGGGTTTAGGTTAATGAAAAAAAACACTTAATTTAGCAATTGAAACAGGAAGGAAAGAAGAACTTTATGAAATACATGAAAGACTTGCTAAGGAGATGGAATCTGAAATCACACAAATTATGCAAGGCAATAATATTATTGAATTTGCTTGTACTATTAACAATCCAATTAATATTAAAACAAAAGGCCGAAAGCCTAAAATTTCAAGTAATATATATGCTAATCGTAAGGGTAAAAAAAGGCAAGTAAGAACTAATCAAAATGATAAAGAGAATAATATAAGTGATGAAGATTGCGAAGAATTATTACCAAATAGAAAGTGGCAAAAAGTCTCACAAGATAATTCAAATACAGGTATATATTGGGTTTTTATATCACTTATGATATCGATATTATGTTAATTAGCAATTTTTTTATTTAGCAGATTATGAGTTAAATGTAGATGTGAAAGCTGAAGGTAGTAGAAGTAAATCAAGACAATGTGGAATTTGCAACAAAGAAGATCATAATGCACGAACATGCTTAAAAATCAATTTGTAATTCATAATTTTTTTAAAATTTTTATGAATTTTATTCATATAAATTAGTTTTTTTGCACTCACTTAATAAAGATTACTTTTTTAATATGCAAATAATAAGGTCTGATTTAATTTTGCTTTAATTGTAAGACCTTTTTATTAGATAAACATAGTTACAGCTAATGACAACATATTACAAGGATATAACTAACTTAGGGCAGTAAAATGTAAATAAAACATTACATTTATAAAGGGTATGCAGGAATGATCATTGTAACGAAAATGTATATACTGAATGGATTTTATATTTTTTTTTTGAAATTTTTAGCAAAATTCAAGCGTGTTTCATCTTTGAAAAGCATTTTTAGCATTTATGATCAAATATTTACTAGGGAACAGACATAAAATTGGCAATAAACAAATTTACAAATTTTATTCATCAATCAGGCTATAGTACAGAAGTATAAGGTCCTTCAAAAATTTTGCACATAAATGCATATAATATCGGTAAATTCTGTAAATTTTAATTTTTTGAAATATGGTGTTGGAATGCTACAATTTTTTTTTTTTCAAAAAAACTGGTGCCAGTCACCACTGATGTTGGATACCACTGGTGTGGTTTAGTAAAGTCGTTTTAATTTTAATTTATTCAATTATTTTAAAATAGATATTTTAAAATCCTTCTAATTTTATTATAAACCAATGGAAAATTTTTTTCTTTTTTGCATACTTTAAATTTCAACAGGTTGTAATACAAGAAAAAAAATAATTTAGAAAACATTATAAAGTTGAAAATTGTAAATATTGATAAAAGAATACTTAGCAAAATTATAACTATGAATTCAAATTATTACGAGATGTAATCTTAAAGTTTATTTATTTGAAGCTTTAGAAACTACACAAGTATATATATTTTTAAGAAAAAAAATTTTACAATAAATCACTATGTCATTTAATGTTTACCAATTTTAGTTTTGATCATTTATTACATATATTTAGTTTTAACTCGATTTAGTTGTGAATCAACATCTTTTTCATAGGTCAAAAGTGTTGGTCTCAAGAAACCTGTATATAATTTTTGTGCCCCTTTAGTTTGCGGCATGAATAACCTAAATGAAAAGAACGAATTTTTTAAAATAAAAATTAAATAAATAAATACATAAAAAAATATATATATATATTTTTTTTATTTAATTACCAGAGGAAAAATAAAGTCTTGAGAAAAAAGTAAGATGGAAGCCAAAATAAAATATTATCAGAAAAGAATTCAAGAGTATGAATGAATCCTAATACAGTCCTAAATAATAAGATTAATATTAATAAAATTATATGTAAGGTTTCCCAAAATCCCGAAATTAAATTTACCAATAAGTTAACCACTGAGTGTCATCATCTTTTTTCGCGGTCTCGATAGCTTTGAAAGAAGCATACGCTATAAAAGGACACCATGTTCGTTAAACAAAAATTTTAAATTATCCTTCCTATCATACAAGTTGATACATACCAGGATATCCCCAAGCGACTAAATTGCTGAATAATTGTCCCCAAACGTTAAAAAATAACAATAAAATGACGAAACCAGCCACTCCTTCAACTAAATATGTTTTGGGCACGTTACATTGTTCTGAGATTTTAACAATTTGTGGATATTTAGACAACTCTCTATCAAGTTGAACTTGATACTTTTTAATTTGTTCCATTTGAATATTTGGTACGAGAGGAAAAAATTGGAGAATTTGAAAATCGTGTCAAATTTTTGATTGTTAAATACATTTATTTGTTCCTTTTATGAGGATTGACAGATTGACAGTATGACTCTATTACCATAATTATAAACCATTTACTAATTTTGTCCCATTTTCTCAACGATCTTTTACCTTATTTTTATTATCAGGGAAACCCCAAGCAACATGTAACACGTGTAACACGGGAGTTGATATCATGCATCATGCATCACGGGTTAAAAAAATTTAATTTTTTTTTTTTTAAGAAAAAAAAATATATTCATAATGGAAATAAATAACGACGTAATTGAAGAGAATCCTAAAATAACTTCTGAACAAATTAACGATAAAAGTTCCAAATCAAGGAAGAAAAAGAAGAAAAATAAAAAGTCTACCACCGAATCAAAGGCGAATACAAATGAAAAAAAGGATAACTTAGATGAAATAGTAGAATTCATATTCAGGTAAGAAGATTATTTATTTTGTCGTTTTCTTAACGAATGCATTCATTCTAAATAAAATTTTTCTATTCTTTAAACAATAAATAGCGAAATCCCATCAACTACTAAAATATGTTCTGTCCCAAAGTGTAAAACATCAAGAGCTGTCATGGATTTCACCTGTCAATATTGCAATATGAAGTATTGTATGGCACATCGGTAAGTTTTTTAATTCTGATTTAAAAGAAATAGATCCAATGATTAAAATAATTTTCCTTATAGGCATCCTGAGGCGCATTCGCCTAAATGTGTCGAAAAAGCTAGAAATGCTGCACATTCCAACTTTAAACAAGAGTCAATTCGTGTAATATCTCAGGAAAGAAGCAATCCTGGATCAATAAATGCAAAAGGTTTTAGTGTTGATAAAAGTAAAGAAGAATTAAAGAAACGATATAAAGAAAAATTAGATAAAGCGAGACGAAATGAAAGGGGAGGCTTATAATCCTGTGAATTATAACATGTTACTTGAATATTCAAAGAATAAATTTTTGAACAGTAAAAAATTCATCTAGTCACATGACATAATTTGAAGTTATATATTCGGAGAAAAATTAACAATGTCTTCTATATCAGGAAATTAGCTAATAGTTTGATGTCAAAAGTAGTGACACGATGATATAATGTAACCCTAACCTGAACCCGTACCAGTTAATTTCAAGGGGCAATAATTGCATACCCTTAATTAGCATTATTTACTTCATTAAGTAGGATGAAAAAATTCTCTTTTTTTTCTTTCAAATTAATAGGAAACCACGATCTAAATTTTAAGTCAGCCTGAAAAAAAGTCACCGATGCCACCTGCCAATGTTTCAAGGTCTTCTAATCGGCCTAATGTAGTAATACATGGTGGTAACCGGCTCAACTTTATTTCGTCATGGTTGTTTCTATGGATATTCCATGTTTTGAATATATACCGAAAACATAATTTGTCAAGTGAAAATTTGACCTTACAAAATTCCGAAACGGCTAAGGTAGTTGGTGATAGATTGGAAAAGTTTTGGAATTTAGAGTGTGAAAAAAATAGGTAGCATATTATAATTAATTCCATATTTTTTTTTTTATTTCATGTAATGAGAAAATCAAATAAAAATACTCATTAATAACATCGTAAATATATGTTCAGTTAACTCTCAATTATCGTTTAATTACTAATTTATCATTATTTCAAACTTTGTCGTAATCAAAGTAAACCTTCAATTCGTCGGGCACTTGTCAAATCATTTGGCACTTATTATGCATTCCTTGGTTTATACAAACTTTTCGGAGCATTTTTCATTTTCTTGGGTTCATATTATCTGGTCAATCAATTAATTGTTTATGTAGAGCCAAATTCAAATATTTCTCTTTTAAAAGCGTATATGTATGCCTTAGGGTTATTCCTGTGTGCATTATTTAGTTCCATATTTATAAATCAGCTGATTGCCGAATCTACTAGGATTGGAGTGCAGGTATTTTTATATTTATATAATATATCTCTCTGACTGTCTCGCAGTGGCGTTTCTAAATACTAATTTTACGGCGCATTTAGGTTCGTGCTGCATTAATGGTATTGATCTATCGAAAATCATTGCGCCTGAGCTCACTTCATGGCGGAACTCGTGATATTGGTATGTTGAAATATAATTGCGTTTTGCAATGACCAAAATGACATTCTGCTAACATGTGACCTTATTTTTAGTCGATTTGGTTGCAGGTGACTGTAACAGGTACCTACATTATTTCGGATACTTACCCTAATTTTCAAAAAAAAATTTTAATCTATATGAATTACCTGACAATGTTATTTAGGGTGGCAGAATCTTGTGTAAATTTTCATTTTCTATGGAGTTCCGCTGTAGAAATAATAGGTATTTAATTAAATTTTGAACATTTTTAATGCATTTGATATCGTAGATAATAATTCTCTTGATTTATGCAGCTGTTATTACTTTGACTTTAGTACAGCTTGGTATTGCTGGTTTACCAGGTATGTATTAAAGAGCATTTTGTACAATTTTTTTTTTAATTGTACGATTATTAATTATCGTTTGATCTCCAAATTATGTAGCTCTATTTATCCTTCTTATTCTTTTTCCTATACAATATAAACTTGGTAGACTTACCTCCAGCATATCCTATTCAACTACAAGTATCACATCTTCACGTATCCATCTCATGTCTGAAATTCTTACCGCCATAAAATTAATTAAATTTTATGCATGGGAATCGTATTTCCGTGAACGTGTTCGTAAAGTACGTCAGGTAGAATGGACACAACTGTTGATTGGAATTGTTGTGAAGGTGTGGACTTTTTGTGTTGTATTTGGCGCACCTGTTTTAGCTATGTTGGGATGTTTATGTGTCAAGGTTTTGTCATCCGATACTGTTGATGACAATTATGTTCTTAAAGCGAGCACATTATTTACAGTATTGGCTCTATTATATACTGTAAGGTGAGTTCACATGCCGTATGTATCGTCGTCATTATTTTATTAAATTTAAAATGTAAATATAAATTTTCTTTTCCTTTATCAGATATCCTCTTATAATGCTTCCTATTGCTGTTAGAACGACTTTGGGTAATTTCGAAAAAAGTATTAATTCATACGAGTAATCTTTGGACTTGAAATTAATATTCACTTATTTATTCTTACAGGTGCATTGGATTCTTTTGAGAAGTTGGATGAATTCTTAAAGAAGCCAGAATTAGCACCTTTGAAACAGGAGGAAGATCCAATAGATGATGATCCATCGATTAGAGTGCTTATTCATGATGCTGATTTTAGTTATGAAGGAGATGCCCCTTTGAAATTCTTAAA